CTTGTTGAGACTAAGAAAACTCTAAAAGTGTTTATGCCCATGGCTCTTGAAGATCCGGTTTTATAGTTATAGAATTTACAAGAAAAGCCCTAAATTAATTTCTTATTTCTGTAGCTTTGAGCTGACAATGAACATTTAGGGCTTTTCTTGTAAATTCTTTAACTTTGCAAAGAAAACTCATGTAAAGGTGGGATATTTCTCATTTTAATCAGAAATGTGCGCGCTACAATCACGCTTCACTAAGAAAGGTTTTGGTTTTTTTTTAGAGTTTCTAAAAAACTGGTTTTCCAGAAAACCGGGTCTTCAAAAGCCATGGGTACGAACGCTTTTAGAGTTTTCTTAGTCTCAACAAGGTCTACCTATGACCAAAATATGGAGTCGAAAGCGCTGGATCAGTTGGAGTAGTTCCCTCGTGAGTTTTATAATACGTTTGTTTACTATTAAGGAGTTTATGAGAAGTTTTCGACAATAGATGGATTGATACAGTCTTGCGCAAGCGATATGTTCACCTATGTAGTTTTCAAAAAAAATTTCTCCCCAGGTTGCAGTGAAAAACTAACGAAAAAAGTCCGTTGTAAAAGCCTTTTGAGCGACTTTTCGTATTTAGATTTTTTTCTCGCTCAAACTCAATTACAAAAAATTTTATTTTCTTTGTTCTTTGAAGTTCAAAATTTGCTATACGAAAAAATAATTAAATGCCCAGTACATCGAGAACACGCAGAAATAATGCTCGACATTTTTGCAAAGATGTTTATATCGTATGCTACTGGACAAAACTCTGTATGTACATTACCAAAAATAAAGTTACACAAAATTCGTGGAAATGTTGCTTTTTGGCAATATCATATCGATTCTATTCAATGGCTTTAATGTTGAATTAAACGTGTTTGCCTTATTATCAGCGTAAAACGTTACTTTAAATGTTTGTACCATTAACTTTTGCCATCGGTTTTTCTTTCGCGCTAATATAATATCATTTTTGTCATTACAAAAGACAGGCTTTGCGTGTCACCACAACTGAAGATTTTTCATCTTTTTCGTATTATGTTCTTTCAGCTAAATAGTAGATTTTTGTGGTCTGTCAATTGTTTATAAAACTAAAGAGTTAGATGTTCCTTTGTTATTTATTTCAGCGGGTGCGTGTGTATGATATAATGTTTATAGATATTTAGCAAATTAATTTTTAGCTTTAAAGAGTCAATACCTTGAAAAATATGAAAAATCACCGAGTAAAATGAAGTAAAAATACAGAAGACTAGGATATGCGAAGCATAACGTGAAACTCGATTACTCAAATTTGATACTATTGATTTCTCTTGTTTTGATGTTTTAATTGTACTGCAAAATCACAAAAGGATACATTCATTATCGGCAGTGGTGGAGTTGAAAATAAAATTTTCTATTCATGTAAGTGATAAATAATTTCATGAAATGTCATAATATCGTAATGAATGAAGACAGTGAATGAACTGCACCTCTTCTCGGTCTTGTTGAAAATGTAAAGGGATTTCGTCAAAATGCTCCAGTTGCTATTTCGATTTTTGCCGCATCTCTTCAGGCTTTGAAAAAATAAGATGTTATTGGCACATACGTTTTCTCTTCAGCTTATTTAATATGCATTCTCTAAAAATAATATACCACAAAGGCATACGCAATTGATACGTATGAAAAGAAAAAATATGTTATCATGTCCGATATTGAGAGCAGAATGATGAATAAAAAAAGGGAGATTGAATCTATGTAAAAGTATGGCGGATACTTGAAAAGATTGTTGATGGCAATATCATACGTTCCAGAGAAAAGTATATATACGGGAGAAACAAGTTTGTTTGATCACCTGGTACATATGGGAAAGAGTTATAAAATATTGTTTGTGTCCATAATCAACCTGAAATCATAGCAAATTGTTAATCAATAGCATAACAACAAAAAGAGGATATAGTAGTTTTTTTGTAACAAATAGTTCAGTAATGTTCAACATTTCATAAAGGGAATAGTCATACTTTTATTATATAATTCAGATAAATAAATGAAAAATACATCCTTCTATAAAAACTTGCTTGACATTTATCCCAACGAAAAAAAGTGCAAAGCTTACTAAGACACAAACTATATCAAGAATACAATAATTGTTGTACTGTCATTTTATAGTAAAAAATATCTATTATGTCTACTTAAATATAGTCTTTTGCACATATACAAACAGTCAGAGCTGACCCAAGAGAGGGATTATCTCCAATTCTGGAAAATTTTCAATTTTCTTAGCCTCATTGGACATATTTTTACATTCTACACGTTTTCCATAGTGATCTACAAGCCCTGGCTCGGCTGTACAATTCAGTAAAACAACATAATCAGCCGCTTTAGTTCACGTAATGCTGTTATGTATTTTTACACACTAAGTTTTTGTCAACAGATAGGTGTATAAATCTAGAGAGGCAACTTATACTAATGTCTACATCGAATATTTTCACTTTAATACTCATCATTTTTTAAAATAAAGCAAAAGTTTTGGATATCTTGATTTAGAGATTTAGGCCACTCCATCTTTTTAATATCCGAGAGCCTGCTTATCGTTTTTCATACATAACGTGTTTCTTGCTCCTAATTTCTTCACTACCTCACAAATACTTAAGTTTTTGGACCCACACAAGAAAAACGGTGAAGTCGACTTTAATAAAATCGAGCGGTCTGCTAACGATTTCGATGTGTTGAACGGTGATTTGGAACGAGATGGCGGGTAGTGCAACGGTACCGAACTTTCACACATTACTGATGCGGTCCTCGCATCAGTTTCAACACCTACCTTGTAAATGAAAGTTCGCCACTGACTGCACGAACTCACGGTGAAGATTCAGGTATTGGAATAAATATCGCGATGGGCGCTAGAGAATGGATTTGAAAATGGTTCGGGTAGCTTTCATTCGAATGTATGAGATAAAATAAATTACTTTTTCGGATAAGCTTCCGATATCGTCTTGTTTTTATAGAGCGGGATTGGAAGACCCATTCTAAAAATTTTTCGTTCTCTTGGGCAAAAAGATCATACATTCTGCTATCTGGAAGTTAAAATCATCATGTACTTATGGAATAAAAAATGTTCCATACACTCAGTCGAGAAAAGAATGAATAAATTCATTTATTTTATTTTCCATGCATAGATACACATCTATGTCATTTTTTAAAAGTTATTTCTCAATCAATTATTTGTTATGTCTGTCTATATGAATTAGTTTTATAAATTCAATTTTCATACGTTTTATATTTCCAAATTATCAATTCTGACTATTTTTTCTAAATAATTTTTTCAATACATCTTGTTCCATCCGAGTTTTTCTCTACAAAACAAGATATGACGAAGTCCCTGTTTTATTTGATAAAGTGAAGACAAGAAAAAATCATAAATCAATTTCAATTCCACTTTTTAAAATAATGTTTATGATGATCATAGGACTAATATAAAGTCTCAAATAGCTTGTTTTACAGAGAAAAAGTCTTAGTTACAATCTCAAATCACGGATAATAAGCGGCAACAAATAAAAGAAACAATTATTTTCACGAATGCAGTAAAAAATTGAGTCGTACACATGTCGTACTGATAAATATACAATTAATAAATTGCCATACTATAATTAATTGAATTACAGTACGATATGCTTATGTCGATCGATCTTTTTCACTAACAGTACCGCACAGCGTTTAAAATACTGATTTTTACTAATGCTGGCTGGACTAGGTGTACACACACACTTTTAACTGTATGTATGTGTGTATGTACGCATACGCACATATACCTTTTTTTGATGAAAGGTACACTCTGTATTGCGCATATATTTTCTCATTGTTGATTAATAGATATTGAAATCATGCAAGAAAAAAAAAGTAAAAGAAGAGAAAATATTCACTTTTTTTCTTTTTTTTTTCTTTATGTACTCCCATCTATATTCTAGCCATTGAAACGACGTTCGACTGTCAATCAAAGCATACGATTGGACGCGTTGATTCTATTACATCGTAGACGAACCGCAATAAAAAAAATCAATGACACCTTCTCATGTACGTAAATTCTATTCTTTTTTACATCAATTCGAACATTACCAGATCTTCTCTACACATATTTTCCTATTTTTTTGTTTCTCCGATTAAATCTACAGATTATTTTTATTTTTATAAAGTATGATCATAAACTAATAAAAGTACTGAACGAGATCATTAATAAATGAACAGTACAGTCATTTTATTCATTAGATATTAAATAAATTTAGCAACAAGTTATACAATGTTTGCTACCGACGATTTTCGACAAAAAATGATTTACAGGTTAATCATCTGTTTTAATTATTTTTGAGATGTAAAATTTCTGTAGCACAATTTAAAGTTTTCTAGTGCATGATCAGAGTAAATTTCTAATATCAATCTTCATACGTTCAAAAAAAGGAAGAAAATTTAGTAAAACTCAAGATTAGATAAACTATGAAAATTGTAGCCATTTTGTCTTTAGGAGTTGAATTAAACGGTTTTTGAAAAGATAGATATATTTTCTCATTATTAAGTTAGAAAAGTTAGAAAATTTAAAGTGAGACTAATATGAATAATAGAATCTTATAAAACCATTTAAATGAGTCATTTTAACTTTTCTATGTGTAATGGTAAATTAATTTAATAATAACATATTTATTATATTCTCAAATGTAGTATGTTGAGATTTATATTGTCTGCAATTTAAAATGAATTTTTAGTTCGATATTGTTTGACCTTGATAATGGACATGAATAAATAAAAACGAAGAAGAATAGTTAACATGCTATTTGTAAAACTAGTGCAATACAGAAAAAAAATCTGTTTGTATTGTCAGATGACTAATACATATAGCGTCCAATATTGAGAACAGTGTTATGGGAAATGCAAAAGAGATATGGTATTTTTATATATAACAATAATTAAAAATATACCCTACTATGTGTATAAAAAGATTCCAATGTTCTGTTTAAGGATATATTCTCTTTATAGTATTTTAGGGAAGACAATCGTGTTTATTTCAGTGGTCGTTCAACATCAACCGCACCAGAAATCACCGATCCTTTAGCTATTTTACTTGAGGCAAGATTTGAGCCATGTCAGGTGTGTGGAGAACAATCTTCCGGTCTCCATTGTGGAGCAATAACGTGCGAAGCATGCAAAGTATGTTCCTTTACTTTAGCTTTTTAATATGAAAAACGTTCGTTCTTGGCATGATCATTCTTAAAACTTTTTTTGAAAAACTATATAAAAGTTTTTTCTCTTTTATAGAAAACAATTCACTTAAACTAAATTTAAAAAGGACTTTTCAAAATTTAATAAACGTATTAACTGCAGTGATATGAATTTGTAGACAAAAACTTCTTTGATCAAAATGAGATATCAAACAGTTTTAAGCGATGTTCAGTTAAAAAGTTATAAGACTTTTCGTACAAGACCTAAAATATAAACAATACAGTGACGGCATCTTTTCTTCTGGACCGATTTTTCAGTCAGCGAAGCTTAGCGTTTATCAGACTTCTGAGTACCAAAGCATCAAAATGGCTAATTTTTAAATTGATTCCCAACATTCAATCATAACAGTACTTGAACAGTATCTAATTTTTGATTCGGCTTTCCTTTTCCTCGAAAATGTAGTTTTGAAGAAAACTCATAAGGTATTATTTAGACTTTTCAGTTAAAACATCATGTAAAGACAAAGAAAAATTTTATATTATGTTAGGTTGTTGCCATAGGTCATTACTATAATCTAAAACAAAGCGAAAGTCTGTATATAAAACGATACCCCATTTTGACCACTAAAATGGCAACATCTAATAAAGATAATAATAGCTAGGGCCTTCATGAAAATTTCGTCATCATACTTTCCCATGACTAAACATGCCCTGAAAGTTTTTACCGTACGGATCTCAAGATTCTTCCAGATAAGTTTTTGATGATGATACTTGATTAGTATCGAAAGCTTGCGAAAAATTTGTAAATGCTTTTACTTAACGTATTTTCAATTGTATTTAATATAGTATGTTTCTACAACGTAAAAAAAAAGTATCAAGAATAGGATTTTGTTATCAGAAAAGTCTTAAACAAGTTGTTATCAACTTTACTTATTAGAGAATCAGCAAACATGTTTGTTTTATCGACGACTTTCTTAAGTTGACTGTTTTTCGTTTGTCTAAGTAGCGATTCTTGTTAGTATGATTATCTGCCTTTTCCAGTACCAGATAGCTACTGAGATTATAGTAAATTATTCGCGAACAGCAAAAGATTCTTTGACAATACAATAATACTGTATGAAATTCGTTTAGAAGTTTTTTCTCCGATCGATTAATGGTGAAGATCAAAAATACAAATGTGTGAGAAATAAAGATTGTATTATTACACGAAATACGAGAACACAATGTCAATACTGTCGATTTCAAAAATGTAAAATGGTGGGAATGACGGTAAAAGGTAGGTGATGAGGGATTATTCAAATTATAATAAAATTATTGTATTTTATGAATCTAGTTTTAGGTGGACTCGAAACTCAGCAAACACCTCGAGTTGCCGATATCTTCGCTCAAATATCGTGTTATGTTTGTAGTGCATCATCATCGGGCATACACTTTGGAGCAATTACATGTGAAGGATGCAAGGTATAATAATTCAGATAAATAAAAGTAAATTTTACTTAAAAAATTTGTTTGAAGGGATTTTTTCGACGAAGTATCAAAGAACGAGCACCAAGTCGATACAAATGTATGGACAATGGTGCTTGTGAAATAAATGTAGCCACTCGAAATGGATGTCGTTATTGTAGATTTCAACGATGTTTGAAAGTTGGGATGTCAGTAGAAGGTATTTGTGACAATTTAATAATATCATGTGTTTTTCATTATATATGTATCATCATTTGAGGAAGTCGAATTGGAAGACAGAGCAATTTGTTCAAACACCATATGAGTAAGTGAAGGTTTGGTTACGAGTTGTTGGTTACATCTAACTGGTTTATTCAAGGAATGATGTTACAAAAGAACGGTCAGATACCAAGTGCATCGATGATTCATGCCATGGCGAATACGCCAACAAGAAAGCCAACAAAGAAGTGTACAATTAGTGATACGAGTAGTACAGAAAGTGGTGAGTCAAGCACATTTTTTTCAAAATTTTTACGACGACTATTTTACCCAAACTAATCGATAAGTGCATTGTATTTTTATAAATATTAATTTCTCAATCTTAGATACACCGCCAACAATCATCATTCAGGACTACGAAGAGCAAGTAGATAAACAAAGTAAAGATCTCATATTGAGTGTGCACGCAGCATACAAAGAAACTATGGAGGTAAAGAGTATTCCAACATCATAAGAGCACAGATAATTGATAAAAATATGACAAATGACTTTTAGAATTTATCCCATTGTCAAAATAACGGAGATGTCTGGAATAATTGTATGAATCAATTTAAAAATTATGCCAATCGATCGGTAAAATTTGCCACTCGCATACCCGGTTTTATGAATATAAAAAGTGTCGAAGATCAAGTACAATTAGTTCAATCTTCTATACATAGGTAATATCCGATTTGTTAGAAATATGTTAGAAATGTATACGAGAATTTATTTTTTATAGTGTTGTTATAATGACATTACAAAGAGTAAATTCATTCAGTTGGAATTATTTTAATGCTGATGATCATAAATTAATCAATCAATTACATCAACTATTTCCATTTATTAAACGTATACAAACAGATGCGGATAAAATTCAATCCTATGTAAAATTTTTAAAATTAGATGAAAAAGAATTTGCTTTATTATTGTCATTATTAATTATGTCAACAGGTATATATTGAAAAATTTAGATATTTTGTATTTTATAAACTATTTAAAATCTATTTTTTCAGTCAATATTCGATCAGATGATTTTACATTAATTGATACAGCACAAACAGATTTAACATGTGCTCTATGCGATTATATGGATTGTAAACGAGGTCTAAAGAGTAAAGATTTTTATACACTCATGTTTCTATTACCATCATTGCGAAAATTGAATACAATTATTCAAGAAGATATTCGAAATGAAATACCAAAAGATATTGAACTTCCATCATTTTTCTCAAGAGTTTATCTTAATGGACAAGGACATGTAAACAGTAATGAATAAAGTGAGAATAAACCAACAATTTTAATCATTAACATTGTCTAATATTTTATGTTATTTTGCTACAATCATTTAAACTAACAGTATTCTGTTGTTCAAGGATAGGTTATCTCATCTCGATGGGTCGCCATAGCTTATCGTCTCATTTTTTCTTATTCTTAGCGAAGCGACTTATTTAAACAGGAAAAACTAATCTAAACTCATATGTGATTGCTATGGTTCTTGTTTTTAGTATCTTTATCCTACACCAGCATATTGGTATTTGGAAAAAAATAGATGATTCATTAGGTGGAAAAAGGTCATTATTGTTGTAAATAGCATCATTCCACGATGAACACGCATACACTAACATTGATGTAAATGAAACACTGATTCGTCTATTTTTTCTTCCCGTGTTTTATTGTGTCTAAACTAATGACATCAAATCAGTTATCCTCTTTCAACCGGTAACGTGTTCTCTTTTTTTTTATCTGTATTTTTCACGGTGAATCGGACGGACGGTGACATTTCTGTTTTGATTTTTTCCACTATTTTTATTAAATTTCACATTTTTTATTACTACGAAACAAGAAAAATACCATTTTTTCTATTATAATTATAATTTGATGTCTTACTTTGTGTGCGGTTTTATCTTATAATAAAATAAACAAATTTACACTTTGGAATGTGCACTACCTGTTATTCAATTCTGTAATACATCTTTTCGTCCATATGGAATCATTAATCGGTGGATAATATAAATAACAATAGGGATCAACTGGTTTTCTTTGATTGTATATGGATGGAGCTTTTAATAACGATATCAATGTGCCAACTACGCTAACAAATGCAAATATAATTAAAAATAGACGATCAAGAACGAGAGCGATGAAACGCCAGTCTTCGGCTATCTAAATAACAATTTAGAAGAAACAGTACAAAACCGATATTGCAAGTGAGATGATTGATCGAGCAATAGTTACCTCTTTTTCTAATTTAGCATGTTTCATTTGTTCAGCAATGTAATCTATATGGTCGGCGGTCACTCTTGCCAAATGTTGTCGACATTCATCTGTATGAAAAGAGGAGAGTAGTTGTTGATGATCACATGTTGTAGCAGTAGTCGTATGTTTATTTTTGCTATGTGATAATGTATGATTTGTTGCTGTATTACTTCTAACCGTTTCTGTACAATTTAAATTCGAAAAACTTGTTTCATCTTCAAGAATCGCATCAGAGGAGAAAAAATGTGATGAAAAGTTGTTTTTCTCATAGTTCAATGATGGTTTGTTCGGTTTCGGTGGACGTTCCATGAACAATATTTTTGGCAAATAACAAATTAGAAACAGACGTAACCATTTTGGTAATAAATTTGTTGGATAACGTCGAAAATGAACATTTAATGTAATAATCGTGAGTATTATGGATAAATTAACGAGAACAAGTGTAAATAGAAGATATTTGCCAAGTAATGGTATTACCAACGATGTTGGAGGAATCAATTCGATTAATAATAAATAAAAGACAAGTAGTGCAACAAGAATGGATATACTTAACGTGATCTTTTTTCGACTGTCACTAGGTAATAGAAATACTAAAACGGCCAATACGGATATATTTACACATGGAACAATGAGATTTACAATGTAAAATAATGGTTTTCGTTGGACGGTACATGTAAATGTCAAATCGATAAAGGTCTCAACACAACATTGATATACTTTTTCGTGACGAATGGCACGCAAATCTAAACCGAAATAATGTAAAATATTAAGAGTGTTCATTAGCTCATCAAAAAACCCCATAGCTTTTCGAAATTTCGATTTTGATGAAAGGAATCTCATTCAATAGCCCATCTAAAATACCATACAAATTATGATTTTGACTACTCAGGAACTCTTCTTAGAGAGTTAAGAGATGTTTACACAACGGAAGGTCGAAATTTCCCAAAAAAGCTCACTGTTTAGTATTTGTATTATTTCTTGAAAACTACTTCACAGGTTTCTTGGGCAATATTTTATTCGGCGTAGAAAAGAAATTTAGTACAAAAATCGATTTTTCAATTAAGGATGAAGCGCGTGGTCGACTTCGTACAAATGAAATACTAAAGAATTTTGATTTTGAAAAACTCCTCTTTTTCGCGTATTTTGCAAAAATGTCTAGATAGAGAATGTCGACGATGAATAAACCTTGTTGAATAAAACTTCTTGAAATGAATGAAATTTCTTCTTTCGGGACCTGTGGTCGTGTTGTTTCTTTTGGATCTGACCAATTATTATAGAAACTGATCAAACGCATACTTCAACAACTTTCCAAGTACCACATTACAATCAAAATGGGCAGTCATTGAAAGAAACTTCCGCTCATGTTCTCCTCGATTTTTGAATTCTGACTAGCTCCAGAACAGTAATATATTGTGCATAATGTTGATAGTGCAAACTGTGATTATTGAAAAACACGTGGAGAGGTTGGTTCAGTTCAACTGGACAAATCGTTAAAGTAATAGGTTTGTAGACCGTAACAACTTCTGGAAAATGAAACCTTAATCAATATATGATCTATCCAACAGATTAGAAGTCACTGTAGCCATAAGATACACAATCAAGGCAGCAGTTACTTATCTGTGTATACCTAATAATTTTCAAATACATTATTCCATTCAGTTTTTATCGTAAATTATGAATTACCTATGAGTTTTTCTGTATACAAAGAAAAGTACAGAAGTTCTCGGTTAAATGCACCTCTTTTCATTCATGTCTTAGCACAGTCCTCCGCATGTAACTGTGGTACTGATAAGGAAACAGTAAAACACTTATTTTTGGAATGTATTGATTATGAAGAGCGGCAACAGGATATTTTTCAACAGATACGCGGTCTTATAAATTCCCCTCTCACTTTAGATCACATACTACCTAGATCACATACTACCATCACTCTATCCGTACATTGAATAGAGATGACCTACTATCAATTTTTAATTTTATTCTTCAATATATTCGTTCAACTAAACGCTTTGATTGACTTGATGCTTCTGTATTGTTTGTTCTTACACAGTGTCACATGGATGGAGTTCTCTCTGACTACTTAAATTTCTCTATCTCTCTCATCACCATCTTTGTGGCGCCCTCAAAACAGTCAGATAAAATTTCTTTTATGTTTGTTTTGTGGATTGTCAGTGTAAACTGTTAGATCTGCAAGACAGAATAAGTTTTATGTAAGGCCCATGCGTTTAGATCAGACATTTTTGCAAAATACGCGAAAACGAGGAGTTTTTCAAAATCAAAATTCTTTAGTATTTCATTTGTACGAAGTCGACCACGCGCTTCATCCTTAATTGAAAAATCAATATTTGTATTGAATTTCTTTTCTACGCCGAATAAAATATTGCCCAAGAACCTGTGAAGTAGTTTTCAAGAAATAACACAAATACTAAAAAGTGAGCTTTTTTGGGAAATTTCGATCTTCCGCTGTGTAAACATCCCTTAAGGGTGACCTCCTCCTCCCGTTTTTCATCTTGTTGCCAAATGCGGAGCACATGTCTGATCGAGTTCAAATTTATACCAGAGATCGAACATCGAAAAAGAATGTATTTTTGCCCAGAATTTTCTGAGATGTTCTTATATGGGTTTTCTGGAAAACTTCAGTTTTCATCCAGTTACATTACGACCCCTCGAAAAAATGGTCCGATCGAGCTCAAATTTCGACTACAGATACTTCAGACCCTAAATCAGGTTCCAAATTCTTTTTTCCGAAAAATATGCTTTCCTTCCCGAGATATATGAAAAATGCGGAAAGTCAGTGAAAAAACTGAAAAAATCTGAATTTTTTTGCGTGATTATCAGCATTTTTCGTATATCTCGAGAAGGAAAGCATATTTTTCGGAAAAAAGAATTTGGAACCTGATTTAGGGTCTGAAGTATCTGTAGTCGAAACTTGAGCTCGATCGGACCATTTTTTCGAGGGGTCGTAATGTAACTGGATGAAAACTGGAGTTTTCCAGAAAACCCATATAAGAACATCTCAGAAAATTCTGGGCAAAAATACATTCTTTTTCGATGTTCGATCTCTGGTATAAATTTGAACTCGATCAGACATGTGCTCCGCATTTGGCAACAAGAAATGAAAAAAGAGGGGGCGGTACCCTTAACTCTCTAAGTAAGAAGTCCTGAGTTGTCAAAATCATAATTTGTATGTTATTTTAGATGGACTATTGAATGAGATACCTTTCATCGAAATCGAAATTCCGAAAAGCTATGTCTTATTATGAAACTGCTTTGTCGGCTCACGATTGCTTTCTTAAGAAATGAATAGATGAACATTAAGCGTACGGAAAAGGAGCAATATATCATAATTATCACTAGCGCAGCGTCAGTTTTTGCATTAAAATATTGATTCTTACGCTATCTGTTTACATGTATATGTTGCAGGAGATATTAAAATCCAGTGGAATTTAAAATTCTCCTGTTAGAAATTAAAATTGTAATTTTTCCTAGTGGGAATTAAAATCAGCATATTCACAAACACGAAAAGTCAATTAACCGGCTTAAGACCTTGAATTTTAGTTTTCTGAAAAGTGCACGATGTTTATGAACATCAGATGAAGATTATGAACAGTGACTACGAATCTAAAACACCTCATCTTGTGAGCAAAATCTGGCCCGTAAATGCTTTGTGACCTGTACTCTAACTTATGGCTGTATTTTGGTCGGATAGAGACTTTTGGATTCGTAGTCACTGTTATATATAGAGTATAGAATTACTCACTTAAAATTTCCCATTCAATTGATGAGTGAAATTCTTCCAAGTCCCAACCTTGTTCGATAATAGGTATATTTTCTGTGATAAATATTAAATTAACTAGCAAACCCTATAATTAATACATCAATCTGTTATGGTGAATGTCTCATATGATTAAACAACTTACATGATATGTCCATGTACCAAATTTCATGGTACAATTTTGAATATCAAATGGATAATATTGAATATCAATTGAACAATAAGATTTATAAATCATTGGTGGATTCTATATCATCATTATTATAAATATTAATTTCTTTAAAATTACAAAAAATATGCAGTAAAAACCTACCCATTGAACTTGTCCATCATATCGTATCACAGCTTTTGATCTGGTCGTTATCTGATAGGCACCATCTGCATCTTTTTAAATCAAAAATTAACGAAAATATACTTGATCAAACACACGTTATTCAAACTTTTTCTTACTATTATAAAGAACTAAATCGGGTTTCCAAATCTGATCGCTAGGAATTTGAATTCTGTCAACACCTCCATAGTCTTTTGGATTCCAAACAAAATTAAAATCCATCCATTCCTAAAATTATCAAAATAAACAGCGTATATCTATCTAGTAACATTTTAGTTGTTTAAGATAAAACAATATCATTTCAAAAATAGAGGACATTAAATAATCATATAGAGTCTATTTGTTTCAACGTTATTCATCGGTCGGATATTTGTTGTTCTCATGGATTTGAAATACATCTAAATATTAGGAGATGTCTATGAAAATCATCTTCTAATTTCCATATATGGAATGCATCTTTTCTACACTTCAGTAGTTATGTCTATATTTGGATTGAGTCATATTCACCAGATAACTGGTATTTTATACGATGTTTCTAATTTTTTCTTTTTTCTTCTAAACAATTTGGTAAAATCGTTTTTGACCATTTTTGTGAGTGTTTACAGAATAATTGTTTTCTATTGACAGCATACAATATCTCAATTTCTTTCATCTATTACTTGGTTGTCGTAAAGGTTTCATTATTAACTTTATTATCTTCAATTCTTTATTTGTATGTATATTATTCATTTTGATTAATCTAGTCACGTCATTATTTGTAGACGTGACAAAAAACTTATCCTGATTATCAATAAAAACCTTCTAACGTTGATACATGTCCTATTAAGTCTAGTGTGAAATAATAATGCTACAGTGGTTTGAAATCTATTTGAGTTTGAGAGAACATATCATCATCATCATTATCATCCTCATACATTTTAATTGTAACTTACATGAAGTACATAAACATGTGTTTGCATTATTTGATTTTTCTCGTCCTATAAAAGAACAAAGAATATATAGAAATGATCTTTCTATAGCTATAATATAAATTGATTTTGTTAACATAAAACTAATTTGTCTTCAATCATAGAATGGAAATAACATTATTACTATTATTATTATTATTATTATTATTGTCTTATATTTTGTTCGATTTTGTTCACAGATAGAAGCGTGCATACTTTCATTTACTGCTAATCAAATAGAAAAAGATGCCAAAGTTAATCACAAAATAAAATGGCAATTCTCTTTTACAATATGTTAACAGATGCTTGTTATGAAAATTATTAGTTTTTTAAAGAGAAGAAACAAGTTTTAAACATAGTCATAACGTTTTTTGGAAAATATATAATTACTGTACAACTACACAAACGTTCACACAGTGATAATTCTTTTTTTTTTTTTGTTTCGCTGCAATGTCATAAACTAGACAGAAGAAACTAATAAAGTCTTTCCTTTTTTTTTTTTTACTTATAGTTCTGTTTTTCTTTCCCCGATATTGCACTATACAAATAAACGGGACATATCTCTACTACTCGACGAACAAGTGTCTATAAAAATATATGTAAGAAGGTTCTTTTATTGTAACTCAATTAGATCGATTATACAGAACGCCATGACTCTTACATGCACTATTTTAACTATACGCTCCTACTCTACCATGTAATCAGTAGAAAAACCAAATAAAATATCTAAATACTGCTCAAAACACATATATGTATGTGAGAGAATAATATTTTCTATTAATTATTGAAAATCATACCTTTTAACGCTTATCTGAGTCACAGTTGAGATTAAAAAGAAACTGGACTTTACATTACATGCTTCGTTGAATAATTAGCAAGTCCATGTATGAGAATTAGATAATGATGTGTATACGTACAACGTCGGCAATTTGTATCAGTTTAAGACCAAGTTTAACAGTAACAAGATCTGAATTGTTTTTTACTGGACGACAATGTTTGTTGTAATTTAACATCAGATGTGCATATAAATCGCTTGTGCTATTCGAACCAACTGTATCTTTATATGAAAAAACAACAACAATGTAGGTAAATCGAATTTATATTATTTAACAAGAAACTTTTGTTTTCTCGATTTTTTTCATTCAAGTTATTTGGGATGATAGAAATATTCAAAGGAGAAGATCTCATCAGTGGTTAATTAGAACAATTTTTCAACGTTAGAAGAATAAAAATTTAGCTCATAAACTCTATGTAGAAGTAGTACGTATTATATTATGACATTGTAAACTATTGAATTAGACACGTTCAGTTTTTTAAATAGATTATAAATTGAACAGTATACATTAACTTACCTGTTATTATAATGAAATAAAATGTAATAAGCTCAAACCATGTTTGAACAAGAATTAAAAAATATATTAGACTAAACTTCATTAAACATTCAGTGAATCATAGACCCATTTGTAAAAATAGATCGAAACGTTATCGTTTCGGTAGATACAAACAATATTCTGTGTTGAGTTTTAACACAATTACTTTATAAAAATATGTGAGAGAAAAACGAAAATATCTGTAAAAATTAGGTCATCGATGATAATAATAATAATGCATTTTGATGACTTTGATGATGATTATGAGCTAGGAATAGAAAGAAATTTCTATCTTTCTTTTCTTTTCTGTTCGACGTATTTTACAAGAAAAAAAATTTATTGCACGCCAGAATGATAGCCTAAAAGAAAAAAAAAAAAGAGTAGAGTATTACAGAGACGAAAAGAGGAGAAAGAACTTGATGACAATTCTAAATTATCACGCTTTCTATATCTATACTGACGTATCAGAGTGAGTTAAACGGTAGTTAGTCTGCAACATGATGACTTGTAGTACGATACTGAATAAAATGTAATATTTGTCGCCATTACAGATATTTTTAGAGATAAATTAGCGAAATCATACCTAATAAAGTTTTATTCCTTGGAATCAAATTAAGGCCTCTCCCAATGTCAGAAACCTATTTCAAGAACCATACATCTGATCTTAAAGAAAATTTCAACGATTATCAGGCCTAACGTGAAATGTTTACATAAAAAATTTGACGCAAGGGTTCAGAACTTATAGGATCCCATGGGTCAAACAGCGGCGTTCGGCACTTCCCAAAAAGTTTTGTCCAGATACTTGTTAGAGAGCTCGTGTTTGCGTTATTCTTTGCGAACTCACACAGCTAGAGATCGACACAGTCAGATTTTTTATTTTTCCTTTTATGGACTTTAGGTAGCGTTTTCTTCTCAAAAACTCGAAAAATCTTCCTTTGGGTTTTTTAGAAAACGTTGTGTTATTAAAAATCTAAAGGCTAAATCAAAGATCGGACTCTGTCAACCTCTAGCTGTAACTATCTCCTACAAATGAAAAAAAACTTAAGCCTATATGACGAAACATAACAAAAAATGCTGGGAAGTACACCGCTAGCACAAAAATCTATTTAGAAAATAGAACGAAAGAAAATACTAAACGTATTTGCTACTTTTCGTAAAACTCTAATATCTTTTGGCTAAAGCATCGTGGGGAGCTGGCAAACGTCTTATTTTGAAGAAAAACCTTTGCGAAAAGCGACAAGCGCAGTTGGAAAAAAAATTAAAATTTTATTTTAACAGGAGAGAGTAATAAAAATCAAGAAAAAACGTTTAAAAAATCACTAAGAACTTTCTATGCAGGCTTAAACAATGTATTTACGTCTTTGTGCGTTTTTCAATGGTCGAATGGCAAATAAGATTTTTTCATTGAGATAAATCTCTCTTTGACAGCCAGACGCTATACTAATTATCGATGATACGTTGATGAATGTAATGCGTCTTAAACATAAGCGGAAAAGTATAAAACCAAAAGTTTGTATCTATTCGATGTTTCAGGAAGTAAGAATCAAAAATCAACTAGAAGAAAAAAGAAGAATACCATATGCTGCTATTACCGTTACAGGTGCAAGCTTCTGACAAGTATCATCTTCCAGTAATTCAATATTATTCCTCCAACTGATAATGTTTGGCAATTGTCAAAAAACTAGCATGAATTATAATGACAAATCATCTGATCGATTGGCTGATCAGTTAGTAGTACTGAATGCGCAATACAATATGTCCGTAAAGTTAACGTAATATTCTAATAATTTTAAAAAGCATTCTCTCGTAGACGTGTGTTACAATGATCTCGAAGAATTCTATCCAATTAAAATATTATTACTAATTAAAAAGAATTATGTCTTGCTAAAACACAATACAAATATTGATATTTTTATACAGAACTTGTTTTATTATTCGTAACATTAATATTTGTAGAAAACATTGGCTCATAGATGAGTGACATAGACCAAAACTAGTATGTCTTGCACAACTCGTATAGATCTATTAACTGGTATACTTTATTTCATGTAATTGATCGCACTTAGAACGTGTTCCTCTGAAGATTATATTTAGAATTTGAACCAAACATAAGTGTTAGCAGGTATATTATAAATAATGTTGATCTCAGTAGTTCTGCTTTAACTCCTGTTCCTTAGGTTCCACGGAGCAAATTCTGTTTTTAATATAAGCGTCGTGAAATTCTCTACAAAATCATACCTAAACTCTAATTTCAGAACTTCGATTAAGAAAACTAAGAGACTATACGAAAGGCGAAGAAAATGAAAACTTTATAAATTTGGTATTTTTTTTACTTGAACTTTTTTCTTCTGCTATTATTTCCGTAAAAAAAGCGTAGCAAAAGCGAGAACTCAGTTTGTGTTTGGTACTTTCAAATGTGCTCTTTCTCGTGGTTTGTAAAAAGGTTTTTATAGAGCATATGGTGTGCTCGAGAACGAACCTTTCAAAAATATGTCAAAAGCTGATAATAGTTATGAGACTTTTACTGAAAGCACTACCATACGCAGAATTTAAAAATTAATGAAAACATGCGTGACAACCGGCAGAAAAATTATTATTTTGGGTCTTGATGTGAATTAACTTGAAGCGTAGCTAAAAGTTAGAGCGAAGTCAGGGCTACAAAATGGCTAATACAGTTTTTCTTACTTTCAAAACGTTAACACAAGAAATTGTTTTTGAGTTTAGACAGTTTTCGTTTTTTTCGCCTTTCTTATAGTTTCTTAGTTTTCGTAATTGAAGTTCTGATATTAAAATTTAGGTATGATTTTGTAGAGAATTCCACGACGCTTCTGTTAATAACAGAATTTGCTCTGGAAGGCCTAAGGAACACAAGTTAGAGCAAAAATACCGAGATCGACATTATTTATGGTACACCCGTTACAATAATTATTTAATGCAACTATTTCAGAGTTATTAAAAACAGCTGTCTGTTAATGTGCTAATGGTTAATTGTATCATATAGGATAAGACGTTTCTTTACAAGAGAATATGTACAAATACAGATGAACTAAACATACTTGAAGAAACAAATATACATAGATAATATTAATGTGATCATATATTCGTATGAAGTGGGCAATAATCAAACGAGAAAACGTAGATATCGTTTTCTTCTATATTATTTCTAACTAATCAAAACAGCTTTCAGATTTAGAGCACTGCGATTCATGGTGTATGAGCATAGACTTTCGACAAACTAATCTTCATAGGTTTAAAACGATCAAGTAAAGTTCGTGCGAGAACGCTTTCAAAATATACAATTTGATACTAAGGCATCTTCTATCTCCAGTGTACGAAATATTCTTCTGACATGTTAGCGTTTCTTCACACCCAAAGTTTTAATAGTTAAAACTTTTTTATTTCGCCACTGTTTACTGCAACCATACAGTTCTCATCAATCGAAATATCTATAACTATGTAAAATACAGTATACTGGAGCGTGATGGTTTTATAAAACACTTTTTTGCTCCTGGCCGGCCTCTATTCCTTTCAAACACTCAGTCAAAATAGGCTCACGTGAGACATTTTGACAGCGTATATCCCTTTACGGCCGGGTGTTGACTACCGGTAACATCGATCTATTAAGTGTCGAAGGAATTTCGTTCTAAAAGAAATACACTTTGCCGATCCCTGTCACAGCAAAACAATAAATATAAAGGGAGGAATATTTTTATTAGTTAATTTTTGGCAGCCGACAGAAAAGGAATATGCTATGCACAGAAGGGGATATTGTTACTAAATGGCTTATGCAGCCGGCCGTAAAGGGATATACCAGATGATAGTTATCTGAATTAGGCCTTTCAATCTACTTTCGTTCGCTGAAATGATGCCAGTGTTGAAACGAAATAAATTTGAGTACTTCAGTATTCAGATGTTGTTAAAACCCTGAAAAGCTAAAACGCCCATGACAGATTTGAAAATTATAAGGAATCAACTGTCCGATTATATAGTTTCTAGAGAAATTTGTGACGCATTTTTTGGTCTTTAATTCGTTATTCCTAATGAGAAAAAGTAAAAATACTAAGCGTTAGTCAAAGTCAACGATGGCACCGTCTCTACACTGGGAATGAATGCGAAGCCAAAACTGATTATTAGAATGTAATTACATGGATGGTGATGCATCAGATGCTTCAAGTTCAAAACGTTATTGTTGCCGACGATTGTTATTATCACACCAGGATTTAATTGAAAAACTTGTAAAATTCACGCGCAGTTCTTCAAGAGCGCTCAAACATGAAAAAGTAAGTGTCCACTATTCACATGAAAAAATTTGATTTGCATTAGTATTTTAGCTGAAAAAACAAGGTTTGAGCTAAATAGAGCACAAAATTCTGAACAAAATAATATATGACTTGATCTCTTGTCGAGCTGCTGGATACGGAAAAGTAGAAATACTGAAAAGAGCCTTTTATACACTCTAAAAAAATAATGCGTCTTAAAATAAGACGCTATAAGTCGATTGACGATTGGTCGTGTACATGGGTCTTAGAATAAGACGGATAGAAGCGTCTTAATTCAAGACACATGTATGCGACTAATCGTCAGTCGACTTAGTGTCTTATTTTAAGACCGATAAATTTATCTGTCTTATTTTCTATAACGTTCGAATTTTAAAATTAGATCATGCATGATCTAATCTCATGAGAATGGACCAGTATTTTCGGTCTAACTATTGTCACTATTCTATACGAGAAAAATGGAAAAATCCCTAGTGTATGTTCATTAAATTTTCTGTTTTTTATATACAAGTAGTGAATGATTTCTCATCCTTTAGACGATAAAAATAAGACCTCTTTCCTCGGTCTTGCAAATAAGACTGATAGACTCGTCTGTCGTCAATAAAACGGAAGAAAAAAAGTTAGACCAATATAGGAGTAAGACGGATCGAATAAGGCGGATTTCGTTTTAGAGTGGAGGTCCATTTACGCTAAACATTTGAATTTCTAGGTTTTTAGATATGCTCTACAAAACGAAATCGGTTTGAAAAAAATCTGGAATGGTCATTGAGCATGCTTCTATGTTAGGCTGTCGTTTTTCCCATGCAATGACTCCTGTGGAACTATTGTAAAGTGTCTACTGTGCAAATGTGTGCACTTTATAGAGGTGTACTATTTTGGTTTTCGAGTGATTTTGAGCAGTTATAAGTCTATATAAAGATTTTTCTCTTCAGTATGATGTTTCTCCAGCACGAAACAGTTAGACTTCTGTTGAGGGTACACTTCGAAGGATGTTAAAATTAATTAGTTTTACGAGAAGTCTGAATCTTTTTGCAAAAACAATCCTTATATCGTGTCACATTAAAAGTTATTTTGTTCAGAGAGCCGAAAAAAGTGTTTGCTATGTATTTACAATAGAGAAATGAAGAGAAAAGAGGTACTTACTTTAGGATAGTTCATTTACACCAAAAACTGCTCGGAAATGTGGTGGATCACAAGGTGTGCACAATAGGTTTTAGTGTATATAAGATTCTGATATTGTTTCAACTAGTCCATCGACAGAGAATTTTCGTTACCTATTTTCTTAAACGTATGCTAATCGATAGTTCTCTGCAAGTACATATTTATCTTCAAGTTGGATACTGAATTGATTTTTTTCCTAACTTCTCAGAGATGATTATCTCTACTGCTTGATTATTATGTTTTTGTTTTGCTTTAGGTGTGAATATTTTTTTGTCTAATGGCAAAACCATTCGATGAAAGATACACGCAATTAGTAAAAGCATCACAGGACACAAGACATGGTGAAATTATTAATGTAAGAGAAATTAGACTTTGCTTCTTGAATAAAATACTGACCTTTTCTTCTCTTGCAGCTGACAACATTGGTGCTTAATGAACAATTATCGAAACAAGAGAACGATAAGAAATTATTGTTTTTTATTTGAAACACGGGCCAAAGCTCATTTTCCACTGGGTGATTTTTCATGTAAGAAAACACAATTAAACTGATTCTTCTGATGGCTCGGCTCTTTAACAACACTAAATGATTGTCAATCAGCGGAATTGTATGATTCATCATCAAAAGAATCGGAAAGCGTATTTATAATTAAACAGTAAGATATTCGTATCGTCTGCGGATATTTTTTATGTTTTTTTTTTTTATGTTTTGTATTTTGTTCTTAGGAAATCTAAAACAGAATTATTCCTGAAAAGCTTGCAGAGCGAGTTCACAACAGCATTATCATTACAACGTAAGTCAGTAATCATGAATTATCCTTGGATCTTTGCCGTTTTTACAAAGAACTTGAATGCTAAACGGAAAAAATCATTGTGAATGATGTATGGTTTTAGTTTTCTTCTAGCATCATCAAAAAATCTAAAACTGCATTTGCAAAATTTTGGAAAAAATACAATGCTCACACATACGTATTTTTTAGAAAAGTTTATGAGATAGATAAAGAATTTTTTATACATTCATGTTCAGAAGATCAAGCCCCGTCGAATGGAACTATTTCGAAATCTGTACGCCTAAAATTGACCAAGTTACACTCGTAAAACTTTACTGTATGAAAAAAACGAGATAGTTGCACATTAGACACTGAGCCTAATGAGCTATATTCACATCCTGGTGACGGCGCTATGTGTTGGCCATCGAACAGCTTGAAAGCTGGCCGTATGACTGCATGTATTGTATAGACAGAACGCAAGAAAACAGTGTCTATATCATCAGGATGTGAATATGGCTCATTGGAACCGTCTCGTTCAAATTACACGGGTTCTCAACATTGGCGGGCCGCCAGCAGGGCAACTAAAACTTATTTCAAAACCATCTGATACTCTTGGTACATGATTAATTTTGTTAGAACTTCCACTGACAACAACGGGCACATGAGATCGGTAATCAGAAATACTTTTTTTAAATTTTATTTTTGTAAAAAGAAAATACTGTATAGTGAGGAACTTATTTTAACCATTTTTATCTAAGAAGAAAAGGATAGTATACTAAAAACTCACATACAAGAGCCGATTACAAACAGAGAGACAACGCTTTCACGTTTTTTGCCATTTTTCGTTTCTTTGTATTTCATTTCACTAGCAGTTGGTTATGAATAGTAACTATCTGTTTTATTCAGTTTCACTTTTATCTCTTACTTTATGCTTCAGTTTTTAACTACAAATAGACTCATTCATATCAGATAGTCAGTTTTGTTTTTGTTATCCGTCTTTTTTTCTGTTTTATCCACAAATATAAAATGATCATGTACATAAGATATCTCCATGCTGGTTTTCACTAGTATGCAATTTTTGCTTATTTTAGTAGTTGTCTTTGTTGCATACTTTTGAATGCAATAAAACGAACTAATTAACTACACAGTTCTATAGTTTCGACTTTAATCTAAACTATGAAAATTTATTGTGTATTTCTGTGAGATGACAATTTTTAGAAGAAAAAACAATAGTGCAAATATTGATAAGGTTGAAGGGTAAAATGTATGGACAGCTGTTAATAGGGAATATGAGATGTATCTAATAAGAAAGCAAAATGTCTGTTCATGTTTTTAAAAATATTCTCATTGAAATTTGCAACAAATACAAAATAACTATTTCCAAAAAAATGATAGTTTCTAACCGCGTGTATACAACATTAATTTTATTTTATTATTTAATCAAAATATCATTCTCAATGAGCGCCTTAGAGGATCTATCAATATCCACTTATGAACATGTTGGTTGTTTAAATGTGAAAAACGAATACCATCGTATATTTCAACAACAATTATCTAATGATTCACAAGAATCATCATCATATCAGATATTTTCTAGTTCAATAATGGATGTCGAACTTTGTTTTCGCCTTTGTCGACGTTGGACTATTTTAATATATGATAAATCCAGATGTATTTGTTTGTATACGATAAGTGAACATCATGAATATGCAAAATTAGGTGATTGGACCTTAAATTGTACGAATAGATATTCTGTTTATACTCTAGGAATAAATAAATCGATAACAATTCGAACAAAATTCAATCCGCTATCAAAAATTTCTGCTAGTATTTATCAACCATTTAGTGCTTATGATTGGTCTCTAGACGGTTGTTATTATTTTTCGGAAATTCAAAGTGTTAGAGTTGATTTAAAATTTGACACAGATTATGAACAAGGTCTACAAATGTGTATGAGAAAATGTTTAATTAGAAGTGGAAAATCTGGATATTTTTTTCTGTCACGTAGAAAAAATTGTTATTGTTCAACGTCTTTTAACGATGTAAAAATTCATTCCAGTAGTACAACAGCACTAAGAAAATCTATAAAACAATGTTCATTTCTAACACCAATATGTTTTGTTTTCAAAAATACAATGACAACTTCGTGTCAACAGTATAGTGACGGTATGAGTTTTGATACATTAGCAAAAATTAATTATAAAATGTATTGCTTCAATAATGCCTTTGGATATAGTCGTGTTCTTCATCAATGTATACAATTAATTAGTTTTTCATCGTTCTATCGAAATTATAAACAACTATGTTCCACAACCAACACATTTCGACTTGATTTTGAACAACAATGGACGTATTTATTAACATATTATCTGCCAGTCATCATGGATAAACGTATTGGAGGAAAAAGTGCAATTTGGATTGATCGAAGATCGAAATATGCCTATGAACTACTGACACAAAGAGAGAAAGAGAAATACAATTATTTGAATGAAGACCAATGTTTGATATTATATCCAACTTTTGATTCATGGTATATTAAAATTGTACCATGCATATACTATTACGCATATTATGGTTTATGTCAAACAGCAGCAATCGAAAGTAATCTAAATTTAATGAAAGAATTTACATCTGAACCGCAGTGAGTACAAAATTCTCCCGTAAATTTGACTTCTTCTGACGACATTAAGATTCGGGTAGTATTGCTGAAGTTCAAACTATGATTAAATTGCTTTATTAAATCTCTACCAAAAAGAGCAAGAGACATTTGTAATCACAGTTCTTCGACCATAAACCGCTGTCTAAAGCAATATCCTCAATCACACAGAAGCATAAGTAGGACTTTAGCAAATGAGAAATATCTCTTTTCGCACTGTTCGATGCCATATGTAGCAAACGTTTCCTTCTGCTAACTGGAGTGGAGCCCTACATAATTCTCCAGACTCGTACTTACGAGTAGGAGTGTGGGTATTGGACGGAAAACTTGAAAAGCATCGGTACAAGTCTGAATTGCTAGTCCGTGACTATAGTCGTTGAATTGATTATCCAATTTAAAATTGCTTGAAAACTAGAAGGAACACATGACTGATTCGCAGTGCTACGAGCACCAAGGATCTATTGCTTCGACAATTAATCTCATACTTATCAATCTTATCCAATATAGCTCTATCTCTGTTCAACGCAGTAATAATAAAATTATTTATGAGCATATTACAAGCGGAAAAAACAACTTTGTTTGAACACATATACGCGGATGTAAGATGTTGACAAGTCATGCTTGTCACTTTTTAGTAACCCGATATCGTTCTTCTAGTCGATAATATCCGAAGGTGATCACCCACTCCTTTACTAGTTATCAAACTGCAGCGTGACATCAAGATTTTTCACCCAATTACTTAAACTTCCCGTATCTTTTAACTTTATGGTAAACCAAGGTAAGTGTGTTGTGCATCATATTGTAGTAGGTATCCTGTCGGACAGATAATGTGCAACACATGAGCGTAAGTCTCCTGCCGTTAATATATGACTTGCCGCGTTCGAATACGGTATCTTTAAAGTATGTGACAGAAATAAGTTATATAACACTTATACGGCGAGACAGCACAGTGCTAAATCGTTTGGCCTATTATACAATTAGATTTAGTATTGAACTTTAAAATGACAGGCCGCTTCAATATTTGTTATCATTATTATGTTTTTATAGATACAAAAGAAAATTGAATTCAGAAACTAAATGGTGTATAGCCAATCATGCAAAAGTAATTGGGCAAATGTTGAGCTCGCAATAAAGCTGGCTTTTCAGATACCTAGACATCTAAATTTTGAAGAATAGAAAAACCGTTTGATTCCACGTGTTTTCAACGAACATTAACTCTTTTATTCATTTCATAGCCTTGTTGTACGTGACAACACATAACTTAAATTTGCTTGAAGACTAGCTTTCAGGAATCTAAATAGCAGATTACTGCCATGTGGTTTTTTAAACTTGCTATGTTGACGCGTATGAGCTTGTGTTCTAAGAAAAAACCTTATGTATTCTGACCGTTGTAAGCACTTCTTCAGTGGTTTTCGGTACGGGTATGTATTTTTTTGTTCACCAAATTTCTTTCTATCGAAATGATCACCAATTAATTAGTAGATCAAAAAGCTTCAACTGTTGACGATCAAATTTCTAAAAACATCAACCGTTGGAATTTAACTTCTGTTCTGCTCGTATTTCTTCTTGTATATACTTTCTTTATATTCTTTTCTTGTCTGTCTGCTAATTAATTTAGTGATCAAAAGTGTTACTTTTTGGTGATTATTTCGATAGAAAGAAATTTGGTTATTCAAAACACACTTTCCTCTTTCCGTATTCTAGCAAAATGACTATTTGTTGGTCGCAGGTATTGTGAATTTAACTTTGTAGTTCAAACTTTCTCTTTCATACATGTCTAAATATCTGAAAAGACAGTTTTAGTGTGTGTTCAACATTTGCCAAATTATTTTTGCATCGTGTTAGTTAAGCTGCACAAAAAAATTTTAAGTGATTTTCTTGATAAAGCAGAAAGATTAATTTTCATTATAGTCGACTTACTGTGTTGAAATGACATTTGTAATCTAGAAATAAAAAATCCATTATTTACATCCAATATTTATATACATGTTTACGAAATTTGGATTTTTTGTTACGTTTTACAATGAATAATAGCGTAGGATTTTAAAAGAGGCATGATAAATAGTCAAATTAGGATCTATTTAAGTCATCCTCAGACTTTTAGACACTCAATATGAATACAATTCTTTCACTGCAGAAAGTTCCTTTTTCAGCGTTTTAAAGAGATCTCTTTACTTATCTTTATACAAGTAATCCATCAATGACGTCATGCTAGAATCATTCAGTTATTGAAGTTGCAGTAGTAATGGTTTTCTTTTAGTGAACGTCACTAACGTTTGACTCGATGTAATGAAAATAAAAACAAGAGATTTCGATTCGTTTTTCTTTCTTCTAGAACAAAATAAACCGTAATCCTAATTTATCGAATGTATAACCTCAGACAAAACACAACATCTTGAACGCAAGATGATTTCATTTTTTACCTGAACACAAAATATGGGTAGAAAGCGATGAAAAATCAAAACCATTTTTTCAACTTTTTCTGCGAAAAAATAAACTACTATCCATACCAAAATACAAGAGACAGTGCCACTTTTTGAATAACTTTTGGTAGAAGATAGATAGAGACCTGCGGTTTTCACCATTAGAAAGAGGAGACTTGGATACATGTTTCCATAACCAAT